TTGTAGAAGAAATTGCCAACTTCAATTCCCTACCTGTTTTTTAAACAATGAGGTTTTGCTGTGTTGCCCAGGCTGGTCTCAAGCTCCTGGGGCTCAAGCAATTCTCCTGCCTTGGCCTTCCAAAGTGCTGGGATTACAGGTGAGTGCTAACACACCTGGCCCTGAAATGCCTTTTCCTCCATTCTATCAAACCACATTCTACCTTCAAAAATTCTGTTGAAAAATCACCCTCTTCATAAAATCATTTTAAACATTTCCTCATTCCCTGTCTGGTTCCATATGGCATTCACTATAGTAACCTCCTTAGCAATTCCCCTTTTCTCACATAGTGTATGTGTGTGCATGTGTGTATGTGTATGTGTGTACATACACATAGAAGTATGTGTGTGTATGTGTATACATATATATATATTACACACATACACACACACATACACACATTTATATATAGAGTGCATTTATATGCTTTATGCATATATTATACATATATATATATATATATATGCACACACACACACACACATATACACATAGTGCTTTCCTGTTTCCCTAGAGACTGCCAAAAGGCTGATTCCTGAGGTTTCCTCTGTTCTCGATTTCACAAGGCAGTAGGTAATGTTTGCATATACTGAGTCTACAGTAAAAGCTACTAAATTTTTAACCTCGGAAAAGTTGTCACCTTCTTTGTCTTTAAACCTGATGGTGATAATTATCATTGACTAGTAGAGCTAAATAGAGGTAGGAATTACCTAGTGTTTTTTTTTTTTCTTCTCTGAGATGGAGTCTTGCTCTGTGTCCAGGCTGGATTGCAGTGGTACAACCTCAGCTCACTGCAACCTCCGCCTCCCGGCTTCAAGCGATTCTCCTGCCTCAGCCTCCCAAGTAGCTGGGATTACAGGTGTGCGCCACCATGCCCAGTTAATTTTTGTATTTTTAGTAGAGATGGAGTTTCACCATCTTGACCAAGCTGGTCTCAAACTCCTGACCTTGTGATCCACCCACCTCGGCCTCCCAAAGTTCTTGAATTACAGGCATGAGCCACTGCGCCTGACCTGTTTTTCTTTTATCTTGTATTTATTTAACCACAGAATCTTTTTGACCCAGATTGAAATATTTCTCAGAATCCAAGAATGTAAAACAGATAAAAAGGTGTTGTGGCCAAAGCAGAGTTTGGTGGCCCAGAGATCTGTCTGGTCAGCTCTGTCCTCTCTCCTCTGAAACCCCGATGAAGCCTGGGGAGCAGTTTTTGAAACACTGATCTACAGCCAATCCTTCCTGCTGCAGATGTTAGGAGGTTCTGTGCTTAGGCCATTTAACTCGAAAAGGCTAAGATGGAGTTTCTTCCCATGTCAGTGCAACTCTTTTCAGAGGGGTAAAAGAAGTCCATACTCCCAGTTTCTAGATGTACATATGCCTGATCTTTCTAAAGTTAACTCAGCATTTATGTGATTCAGCAATAAACCAGGTTCTTTTACAAATAAAGACTTAGAAGTTATTTTTCTGTTTTCCACCTTTTGGATCTAATTTATCTTATTTTTCAATTAGGCTTTATCATTAAGATCAATTTTAGAGACAATATTTCCTCTAATATTATATGAAAATTCTTTATTCATTCAACAAACAATTATTAATAATCTACCATGAGCCAATAACTATGCTGGGTACTGAAAATATAGAATTTTATTTTTTAAAGAAACACTCTTTACCCTAAATTAGCTCATAGTAGAGTGTAGTAGAAATATATGTGTCAGTTTAAAAGTCTGTATTCTAGAATGTGCTCTTAAATAATTTTACTTAATCTTGGGTAGTATTTTCCTAGTTATTCAAGAGTGTTTCACAGTATAGGCTTACACTAATGTTTATTCTTGTGTAGATACGACTATCAACAAGCCTTGGAGGCTTGGGGGATACATTTCGTAAATAATAGAATATCCATAGATCTAAAGACTTAAGTACCACAACTCGAAAAGATTTTTAAGAATTGAATGTGTTAATACACCTACAATACTTATAACTATGTCTGCCACATAGTAAGCACTTAACATTAGTTATTACTCATTGTTTTTGATGCTATTGTTGATGATGATATTTTATCTGTATTAATCTAATCAAATATCTAAATAACTTTTTATAGTGATTCTTAAAGGACTAGTTTCTGGATTGGGGGTATATGTGTGTGTTTGTGTGAATGTATGCATACAAACCTGAAGTTAAATAAGCATACAATTGGTTAACTGAGAAATGAGTTATTAATGCCACTGACTTAAACTTTGCATGTCGTGTGCTCTCAACACTCTTTAATGCTAATATAAGTTGTTCCTTGCAATCTTAGAACTCAGAGACATAATTAGCCTTATCTTACAGTTATGGCTAATTAAGGATGAATAAAAATTTCAGACTACCTCTACTTAAAAAGCTGAGAGGCTTACCATTTGCAAGGATCTGAAATGTAGACATCTCAATACTTAGACTCAGCCACTTTGAATCTTCAGGGAATGACATAAAGATGCAATGACAATTACAAATTATCCTCAGTCATGGTGGTATCCAGGGTCTGTGGCTATGATATCTATGGACCCATGTTCTAAGCAGTTGGTGATTTTGCCTTGGTTGTGTTTCCTGGATCCACCTTCACTTGTTTCCTGCCTAATTTTTGAGCCTGGTTCTCTAGCCGTGCCATTAACACTGTGAGCTCTGATATTATCCTAATCCATTTTAGGTTCTATGGCTTGCACTGAAAAATCTTACTGATGGAACCCTGTACTCAGAAATCAAGCCCAAGCTGCTAATATTTTTCGCCTGGATTATTGCAGTAGCCTGGGAGCTTTGCACTCACCATTCTGTCTACCTGAAATACTTTGTTGCAACATATTCTCATGGGTAGTTCCCTTACTCATGGGTTCTACTCAAACTCACCTGTTTGAATGTTATCAAGGAGAAGATCTCTCATTAACCCTATGCAAAACAGCACCCCACCTAACACTCTTTATCTGTCCCCTTTTGTTCTCTTTCATTTTATTTTCTCTAGCCCTTATATCTACTTGAGATACATTGAGATTTATTATAATCTGCTGGCACCAGTGGTATGTAAACTCCATGAGGGCTTCATTACACTTTTAGTGACTTATATTTCCTGGAACCTAGTACAGTGCCTGGTACATATCAGGTACTCAGTAAATATTTAGTGAATGGATAAAGGAATGCACTTAAATTCTGCTCAGATGTAATTATAAGAATAAGCTAAACACATGCTACAGTTAAGGCATCCATTTCCACCTGGATCCACATCCTTCCTAATTTATGTTCCTTAATCTGAACCAGCGGCAACCCATATATTTCTTTCAGTCTAGCTGTCAGTCTAAGGTATGTGATGCAGTGGATTTCCAAGAGTGATGAAAGAAGAATTTGATCTTGTTCACCACTACAAAATGCGTATTTATTTCTCCTTTTATATTTTAATTGTTTAAATATTTGGAGAGGATTGTCCTGCTGTGGTAAACTTATACTCATTAAATTGTCAAGTGTAGCTGTATTATTTACTTATTTTTTGCAAGTACTGTGGGGGAAATGCTTGCTTCGCCACTGGCACCATCTGGCTTTGACTGATTATTGTATTTACCTGATAGTCTTTGGACAAGACTATCAGGGTGATGAATGGGTGAGAGTAGGAAGAGCTCAAACACTGGTTGAAAAAAGGATAACAAACCTGTAGCAATAAGTCAGTCACCATGAAGCATTCTAAGCACTGAATAAGATAGAACATCCATTCCACGCCCTATTTGCATTCGTGGTTAATCTTCAAAGAGTCAACATGGCAAAAACATTCTAAGATAAAAATAGCAAGATCTTCTAGAAAAGATTTAAGTTTCAAGGCCAAAAGAAAAATCCTTATGGTTACTGAGTATGCTGTGAATCCACACAGCATACAGTTGTGGTTGTAGTTAAAATGCTGCATATTTCTTTTCTCAGCATCAGTGACTTATAAATAGACAATTTTTTTTAAAAATGAATCTCTGAAAACATTCCAGAAGAAAATTTGATTTGTGGGAATTGAAGGATAAAATGTGTAATGGCAAGTGGCACAATGTCCGACACTGGGCTTTGTGGTTATAACCTGATCTCAAATCAAAGCCCAATGTCCCTGGCATTCTCAAAGCTGGATCATCAGAGGTTTTATGCCAGATAGAAGTGAGCTCATAGCTCTGCTAATGTAAGGTAACTTCAGCAGGTCTGAATGCATCTAACAGTCTCGTTGAGAGAGGGAGCCTAAAGAAGCTATTCAATCTTTTATCTTTCTCCAGGGAGAAACAACTTTAAAGTGTATCTGTTGTTGGCTCCTATATTATTTTGGTTTATAGATGGATCATCTATTGCTTTCATGGTATCACAAGAGTTAGAAGAAATTTTAGAAGTCATCTTATCTATGAGTTATTCATTTATTCATTAGGAAATCTTTATTTATTGCCTACTATAAATTAAAGGATACAGGCTAAATATATGAATCAGATATGTATATTCCCTTTACAGGATTAATTATTTTCCATGACATCCTTGCTAGGTTGGAGTTCAGGCTTTGGTATGGTATCTCCAATATTTTTGTATTAATGCTAGTCATTTAATAGAACACTCCTCAAATGAATGAAAGCAGATTAGCTTTCACTTAAAGTAGTGAGGCCCAGCTAACTCTACCCCTCATTATTCAAAAAGTCAGATGCAGAGACCAAAGAAGAATCAATGTAGAGGTGCTGAGTAGTTAACTTAGTGAACTCTTTTACCTTATTTTCTTGTTTTGGGTTCTGTCAAACTTCACCCGGCCATTTTCTATGCTTATCTAGATAGTATTTTTACTAAATTTTCATACTAAAAACCCAGTTGAACAATGAGAACACATGGACACAGGGAGGGGAGCACTACACACTGGGGTCAGTTGGGGGGAGATAGGGGAGGGACGGTGCGGGGTGGGGAGTTGGGGAGAGATAGCAAGGGGAGAGATGCCTGATGTAGGTGATGGGGAGGAAGGCAGCAAATCACACTGCCACGTGTGTACCTATGCAACAATCTTGCATGTTCTTCACATGTACCCCAAAACCTAATATGCAATAAAATAAATAAATGGGAAAAAAAATCAAAAGTATTCCAAAAGATTTAAAAAAAAAAAAAAGAACCCCGTAAATACTAGTATCTTGGTAACAAAAAGTAAGTGATCTAAAAATCTCCAAACCTCTTAGTTTATTTTAGAAGACTCTTTCTTTTTATTGAATGAAAACTTAACTCAGTTTTGTTTTGTTTGCATAGACTAATCAAGCATTGCAATAAATCTTAAGAATTAAAATGAAATTCCTACATTTGTAAAATGCCTAGAAATATCCCCAGAAAAATTTTCCTTGAGGCTTTTCAGCATTGGCTATGGCAAGACGTAAGGCATTTCTAGGTCTTACAAAATAAAAAGTAGTGTAGCATGCAAACATATGCAGACACAAAACTCTTAACTCTGGAATTTGAGGGATTTTTGAGATTTCTAGTTTGGGTTTAAGGTAGTGGTCAACTGCCAGTTATCCGAACTTTAGTTTAATAATAATTTTAAGAAATTAAGTGTTGGACTAACTTTAAAATTTGAAATATACTCCTATAACCAAACCATATTGGATTATGCCTCTGCCAAGATTATTCTTAAACCATGATCTAAGAGTCTCCTATTATTCTTTCACTGTCAGGATCCAGAAACTCAGTGCCAAGGGTAAGTCAGCCTTAGATAAACAGATTGTCTGGCCTAGGCCACCAATCTGTCCAACATTTGTGACCTATAAAGATTTTTTTTTTTTTCCTGCAAGCAACTCTGCTTATGCCAACTGTTTATATGCTAGTGGAAACTTCCAAAGCTGTCATCTCCTAGGTTTGCTTTGCTTATACAACTAATTATTAGTGTGCTAGAGATTTTTTTCTATTTATTGGATCCAAGAAAGGCTCAATTAACCAGTGCCTTTTGGTCAAGGATAGAAGCTGAAGGAGAAGACCTCAAGATTATAGCATTTAAACTTTGCACAGTGCGTCTTGGTGATATGGCAAGGACTCAGGGATAATTGCCTGATAGGCAATTGGCAATATTGCCTAATAGGATAGGTGGGGGTTTAGAAGGATTCTAACGAGAGAGAGAGAGAGAGAGAAAGAGAGAGAGGACTTCAAATCATACTGAAGAAATAGAGGAAAGCAGAAGTAATCTGAGACAAAAGAGGGAAAGTCCTTCAGATATCTTGAATTACACATAAATCCTCAGAAATATTTGCAGTGCTCTAAGTTTGTAGATTGTCATTTCTTATGGAGAAGACATAATTAGAATGGGCCCCAACCACAAGAGAACTCCCCATTAAGACTCATTTGCAATTTGGTACCATATTGCAAATGAGTCTTAATATAAAGGGCATGTCAGAAACCCTCCTCTCACTGTACTTCATATATTAAGTATCTCTTTTCAGGAAACTAAACAACAAAAATGTATTTCCTGAACCCCTACAATGAACTGAAGTCCATTAGAGGTGGTATGGGGCATTGTGATGGAGGCAGAGGGATACAAACCCCACCAACAAGGAAGGCACTATGATTGTTCCCCTCACATTTCCTCTGTTGAAATCCTCATTCTCAGTATTAGGAGGTGGGGCATTTGAAAGGTGATTAGGTCATCAGAGTGAAGCCCTCAAGAATGGGATTAGTGCCCTTTTAAAGAGACTTCATAGACTCCTTGACCCTTCTGCCATGTGAGAACATGAGAAGTCTTGCTCTGTAATACAGAATGCAGGCCCTCACCAGGCACCAAATCTGAAGGCACTTTGATCTTAGACTTCTCATCCTCTGGAATGGTGAGAAATAAATTTCTGTCATTAACTGCTGTTGCCCAGTTTATGTTTGTTTTGTTTTGTTTTTTTAAAAAAGCAGTGGGAACTAAAACAGAGGAGAAAGAAGGCTGATATTTAAGAATTGTATACAAATTAAGGAATAACAGTCATAAAAATAACAAAACAAAGTAGTCTGTAATTAAAATATACAAGTATTATAAGAGCTCAGTAAGTATTCATAGGAGGAGGCAGAGGAAACGGAAAGCTTTAAAGAGGGGGGAAAATACTAGGAGAGTGCTTAGTATGAAGGGAGAGTAGAAGGCATTCCAGCAAAGTGAAATGACATGGGGTATGGTCATGGAGCCTTGAGAGGACCATCTTAAAAAACAGTGAAGAGTGTTTTATGATAAGAATTGGTTTGCAGGGGGGAATGAGCATGTAAGATGAACAATAGACAAAAGAAAAAAAAAAGTCCTCATAGGGCAAGAGCTTTGTGCCATTAGCAGCTTTTGGCTAGGGGAGAAATGTGACGTAAAAAGCATTTATGGCACCTGTGCATACAGGATTGCGTGGGAGACTGGAGGCAGAAGGCAAGTTAAGAGGTTATCATTTAAAACACGTATATAGATGAGAAAATGAAACCATGGACTAGCGTGTTCATAACTGAAATTTAAATACAAAATGGATTGCAGATCTTTTGAAGAAAAATGGGTCATTTTCAGTGTCTATGACACATGAAGAAAAGTCTCTGCCCATACATGTGGTCCATGGTCCTTTCAATTTGGCTAAGCAGTTGTGTTGCAGTCTAGGCTGTATGACGGCATGACAAGGCTCATCATGGAAGTAGTCTTTCTTTTATGCAGTTACTCTAGGCCCCTCAGCAGATCAACTTGGATTCTATTTTTATTTCCCTAAGTCTTGGAATGCTGGCTCTATATCTCTTCTTTTCTGCCTCTGAGTACTTCAGGTAGATCCTATCAGATATGCTTTCTTAGCCTCTGAGATTGGGAATCCTCTGTCCACTGGGGTCTTTCTCATTCTCTATTCTCTAGCTTTGGACACCATCTTCAGCACTGAACTCCATTTTCCCATTTCAAACCCATTGCACCCTTTAAGCCAGGTGAATCCCCTTATCTTACCCTATCATGGGTGAGAAATAAATATGATTATAAGATTTCTAGTTTAGATTTACTGGAATGGTTGGGCTATTGGCAGAATTCATAAACTTAAAATTAAGAGCTGATTTGGTGAGGAAGACAATCATTTTTATTTTCAGCATGGCCAGCATGAGGAAAACATCCAGAAAGAAATGACTAATTGGAGGTCCAGAAGTGGACGCAGAGGCACAGGGGGCAAATGACTCAAAGGTTGATTGAGAGCTTATTCATCTTCATGGCGTTAGTTGAGGAAGGGTAAGAAAAAAAAAGAGCTGAGAGAAGGGCTTATTCACCCATCAATGGCGGAAGATACTTCATTAAGAGAAACAGAAAGAGTGGTTAGTAAAAGCATATGGAATCAGGGAAGCCAACAAAAAGACAGCTTTAAAATAAATGGTCAGTACTATTAAATTAGAGTGGTTAAAAAGGATGAGAATGGAGAGTAGAGCATTGAATACAGGAATAAAGAAACCGTTGATAACCTCTGAGTGGGTAGTTTAGTAGAGTCATGAGGATGAAAGCCAAAG